TCTGTTGCCTGTTGTGCTCCCACTCATAGCAGGGACCACAACAGCACTGGAGTCGATGCTGAAGACACTGTTACGGCTTGCCAGCTCGTCTAGCCTGACTATCTGTGCCATATTTTAGTTTATGACCGGGCTGAGTTATGCAATGGACTGCAATTTGGCTAGACAGCTACTTGAACACTTTATAAAATCATATTAAAATGCAATAAATTGAATAACATCTTAAATGTAAATGAATATTATTCAAGTGTTGGCCTGTCTAACAATGCAATTTATAGTTGGCCATTTTGTGACAAGCAGACACAATTTTAAAGTCATTAAAGATTTGTTTTACGACGAGATGTTCGTATACTTTAAAGTTCACTTCTAACTGGACATTTATTTATCACCTGTGCGTCAAGCAAAATTAACGTTTGTCAAGTGCCACAAGGAGTATACGCCAATGTGACGACTGGAACTACAGCATCTGCATCGTGCGTGGCAACGGAGCACAGTGACAAGCGTCGCAAAGCGAACGGCCATCTCGGAAGCACCTTGGGTATTTGGGCATTACAATTTTATCCTGAAATTTGTAACGCATCTAAAGAGACAATAGACTATAAGTCATCAGTTTTAAAGCTTATTGTTGGAGCCGGTTAAATTGGATCACTATATTATAGTATATATAGTTGCCAAACGAATAATTAATCGAAAATCTAATTTTTGCATGAGAAACATTTTTATTTAACAAGATATCCGAACATCGGATACCCATAAGATATAGCCTTCATAGAAATAATCGTTTATCTTTTTAAATGTGTAGCGAAATTTAGATATCAGCGGATGCACGTGGTCTGAACGGGTATTAAATATTCGACGTGGCCGAAGATTTTTATTTTTCTGTTGAATTTACACAACAATCTGCTTTTTTCCACAAGCGCGCCTGGCAGCTGTAACTGACAGTCGTCAGAATGCCACACAAAAGACAAAGTCTGGCATGTGGATATGGATGAGTTGCAATGGGATGCTGGGATGTCGCTCTGGATATGCGTGCATAAGGAGAAGAAATGTTAGCAAGCAGCATTTTATTTGCAACAACATTTCAACGCCATTTTCGATGCAAGCATCTATTTATACCCATATGTATATGCTACACACTAACTCTGACTGAACTGCTGCCCAGATAAGATGGCGATACAGCCAAGTAGGTAGCTTGACATCGGCCTTGATTATCGGCCGGAATATTGAGTTGCCTTACACTCAGTTCCATGTAAACCACTGAAGCTAATCAGCTCAAGCTTGAGAGCCAAGTCTGGAAATGGTTTCTTCAGGCTCTCAATATATATAAGAGGTAATTGCTTTTGAAGCGACTGTGAAAAATTGCAGTTAAATTCGGTTTGTAACTGTTACAGCTGAACCCGTTCGAGCGCCTGCCTGGGACAGATGTCAAAAATGTTGCTGTTTTTAAACAGCAAAAAAAAAAAAAAAAAATACACAACGAAAAAATTTCAACTGAAATGAAATTTGGTTAAAGTTCGTTGGACATGTTGCCTGGCTGCATATTCAATGAACGTGTTCGCGATGCCAGTGGGCCAAATGCGTTTACTGGCTTAACTTCATTTAACCAACTTTTTGCATGACATTCGCCACAAGCCAAAAACAAAATATAAAAAATAAAAAAATACAAACGTTGAACAAATCGGAACGAAATAATTGAATTTTCATTTCCGTTTTATGTGTTTACTTCCGCCGCGTTCTCGACGCAGTCAACATTTCACGATTGTGATGGCCTTATAAATGCGAAACTGCTTCCAATCAGATCTTCAGCCACAAAACCTCCTATACGTATGTGTGCCCCACTTTCATTCCGATTTCGACCTATTTGTATACAAAAGCACTCAATTTTTGGCAGGCTTGAAAACTTTTTAAGTCAATTGTCAGAAAGTTTCTAACGTCTTTGCTGCCACGCCCCCTCACCCCCTCCCATTGTCGTTGTTATTGGCATCTCCTGTTTCCGCCGAAATTGAAATATAATTCGGTAAAGTTTTGCCGCACATGGCCATAAATCAATGGCAGCCGAAAGGCGGCAAACTGAAATTGATTTAAGCCCCAGCGTGTCATGGGCGTGGTCGCCAATCAAATGAGACACAGTCTCACACAATGTGGTCAGCTGCATTTTCTGCTAACTAACTCAGCAACAGACTCGGACACATGGCCTAAATTAAATACATCAGCGTAAACCACATTTTGAATCGAGTGAACGACTAAAGCCACTCACTCGAAACTGAAAAATACTTCAGCTGCATATTCATTTTGCAATTTGACTGACAGTCATTTTCATGAGCGAGCTTGGAACTCGCTGTATGTTCACAGTATTAGCATAAGCTGAATATGCAACCTTTAGTGGCTGGCTACTGGTTGTAAACTCTCAACAACTAACCATAAAAATAAAACACAGAACCAAAGTAATCGCTGAACCGCAAATCGCGAGTTTTATGGTAAGTTCTATCAGCTGCATATATCTAAGCACTTGCAATCATATTCCCCATTGCTATTTTTTTTATTTATAGTTTTTTTGTTTTTTGGTATTAAAACATGGTTCATCAAATTTCAACCGGCTGTCATTCGTCTACCGTCTCTTAGCTGTTATTTTGTTGCTGGTTGGTCGTTCTCACATGCCAGGTAGAGAGAAAAGTCCAACTTCAAACCTTGCTTATTGCTGGTTCATTCTGCTCAGAGCGTCGCCTCGCTTGCACATTTAATTAAGTTTACGGCGGCTGCACACGGAAAGGACGAGGCACACAACTCGCCCCGGATCCTGCAACGCATCAAGGACTTAAGAGGCGAAAGGCTGCTATTAATTAAAGTCACTAAGCCAAAAGTTTGTATCAACAATTGGAATATTAATGAATCAACTAATGAGAGTTCGCAGAAATACGCATCACAATTGTCGTGTGTATGAGTGCGGGTGTGTGAAACTAACTAAAGGTATTATTAAATGTTTTGCTGTAAGCAGCTCCACCTGCCAACCATCAGATCAAAGGCGCACGAAATCCTCAGCCGCAAATCCTGTCTGGCGGCCACAAATCATGCATTGCCTTTCAGACAGTTCGTCCAATTATTGGCCAACTCTTTGTGTACCACTTTGGCATGTCGACGTGCAAAATCGGCTCAAGGCGCTAGTGGACCTAATCAACCTACACATGCTCACTTCACACTGAGAACATGGGTCGCTTTAATAAATAACGACAACGAGTTCGAAACACTGGCTTAAGAGCTGATGATGCCCCTTTGAAGTGTGTTTGGCCAATAATACACTTTTATTTGGGTTGTTCGGTAAACAACTAGCCAAAAGATGTGCTCAAAATATACATGTATGTATATTAACAAGAACTAAATTTAATAACTGAAAATATTTATTATGTAAATGTAAAATTGTATATATTATATATCTTCTCCTCTGGCCTATTCAGATCCGTTCTCTTGTTCTCTCTTTCTGCTCAAATCAAATGCTTAATCGATACTTTTAGACTCTCGTTGATTATATTTGTTACTCTTAAGCTTTCGTGGTATTTTTGTAAACCAGCCTTACGCCTATCATTATGTTGTACCAATCTAAAATGCTTAAAAATGTGTGAGTGAACAAAGTTTTTCATTGTACATTAAATTACATTTATTACATTTGATTCGGTTATTAAACGGTTTGCTGAACCGTTTGAGTTGTTCATAAAATAAGCCCAACATACATAGAGGCAGAAGTTGGGAACATATTAAATATTTAAACCGCTTGTCGTACGCAAATCCTGCAATCGACTTATATTAAATACACGCCAACAACAAAACTTGCAGATAAGCAGTTGCGTGCGGGTAAACAATGTGCAAATCCCAGTGCAGCAGCAAATGGCAACAGCAACAGTAACAGCAGCAGCAGCTGAAGCAGAAGCAGCAGAACGAGAACGAGCTTTGGGAGCAGTAGTAGAAACAGACGCTTTAATTCCGTTTGCAATTCCAATGGTGGCGGCAAGTTGGAGTTGCGAGTTGAGAGTTCCCCTGCCAATCGCTTGGCATTTACATTTAAGCTGATAAGCAGAGTGCTTCCGCCTCCACGTCTTCCAACACCTGAACTCATCTCATTTCAATTGGTGCAATCTCACCTGTGCCTCGACAGCAAAGTTTGTTGTGCGTCAATGTCGCAAGTTTATGAAATCGCAAGCGTTGGAAAATTTACATTTGAGGCACGCACTTTACATTATTAATGCCAGACGCTAAGGGCGGCGCTAACAAAAAATTAGTTGCCAACGGATGTGGCAATGTGTGTGGTACCCATATAAGTTATGCAGGCATATAGTATGTGCGTGCGTATGTGTATGTGTGTGTGTGTATGTATATGAATGTTTGTTGGTAAATGCTTCAGCCATTTGGCAAATGTATCGCATTTCGTTTTGTGTGTTTGCACTTTTGCGCATCGCTGAGAATTTTCCAATTTTGCTGCTAATATTTAGTAATCAAGTAATAGGTACATACACATACACAGCACAGTATACATACACATTACAGTGAGTATGTGCGCTTATGAATATATGAGTGAGGCACTTGTGCGTGTTATTGTTTGATTTTTGCACAAAAATTGATTGGAAATTTATAAGCTAAACTTTTTTATAGTACATTTTCGATTTTTTGGTTTTGTTTTGTGCCGCACAGAAAGAAAAACTTAAATAAAACACAAAAAAAAATTTGCGGAATTGTTATTCTTTTGTTGCTGTTGTATTTTTATCTGCTGCCATTCACAGCACTTGAATAGGTCGCCCCATGTGTCTAGTGTGGGTGTTCGTGTGTGGCTATTGACTCTTCTACATATTGCCACCCATATGCAGAATTATAAATGGAAATGGAAAGTGCCGAAAAAAAAAATTGTACGTGATTTCCAACAAAAAATCATTTGAGTAGTTTTCCACAGCAGGCTTTGGACCTCCTCTAAAGCACTCTGTCAAAACGAAGCTTTTCAAACTAAAACAAATCATTCTACGTACGGGCTTCGTGACGCGCACATCACATAAATGTAAGTTAGATAGAAAAATATTTTTAAAAAACCAACACGCATTTTATTGTAATAAATATTCAAACGGTCAAAAAAATGTAGAAATACTAAGAGAATATAATAAGTAAAAGTTTTTGAGCTATATAAAATAGTTTGATTGTACAAATTAAATTGTTGGTGAATATAACATGCGAAAATATTTTGATAAATTACTCACATTTATTTTCTTCCACACCTGAAGCCCTTTAACTTATTTCATTCAAGCCATCAACGTTCTGAAGCCGCAATCATGATCAAGATATTGACCAATCTTTTGCTCCTGATATGCTGTAAGTATGCCAATTTATTTATACTTGAATAGTGAGTGCTCTCCTTTTGTCTGTCTGTATGACTGCAAATTGTTTTATTTGTTTTCTGCCAATACTCAGTAAGCCTTGCATTCGAAATCCTATAGTCATTGACTTCAGAGTGTTGATTACTTTCACTTCCATATTCAGATCAGAGTGATATGCAGAAGTGGTTGTTTTTATTTTAAAATACAAAGACTCTATTGTCTATTTCATCCGTTTAGTTGGCTGCTTTTTGCTGCCTGAGCCTGGAGAAACATTGCGCATCAAACGCTCCGATAGCCTGGCCAATGTAACTAACAACAGTAGCAACAACACCGGGTTGCCGTTGGTTTCCTTGACGGCATTTGCTGGCGCCGCTAAGCCACAAGTCAAGACTACGGACAAAACTGAAACTGACGTTGCCACAGCCACAAATGCTGCAGCAGATGCAGTTGCTGAGAAAAAGCTGCAGCTGCTGGATGATTTTCAGCCCAGTGAATATTTGACGGGGGGACGTATGCAGCGCTGCAAGCGTCGCGAAGAGCCCAAGAGCGCTCATCATGTGCACCACCACAATGCTGACGCTTCAAATGCCGCACCACCATATGTGTACTTCAACAAGCTGGTCTCGCCAGATGGCAAGCAGGAGCTTAAGGAGTTTCAGCTGATGGCACCCGGTGTAGTAATTGAGAGCATGCAACATGACATAAACTATGGAAATGCAGCTGGCGATATGGGTGGTGTGTTGGTCCTCAACGCGGATTCCAATCCAAGTGCACAAATTCGTGGAATGAGCAAACCCAAGCATTATCATAAGCACAAATCGTCGCTGGCGCTGCCGCCCTTTCTGTATATGTTGCAACAGATGCTACAGCCTAACTTGAATGTGGACATGGTAGACTCCTCGTCAGTGCAACGTAATCGAATGGATGCACCGATCTATCAGTTCCTCGACGGCGCTGTGGATAATGCGTTGCGCAACAACCACGATATATTTGATCGTGAACGTGAGATCGAGCTCAGCGATAAGGATTCAGATAAGGGTGAATCGCTGATGGGAAAGAAAACAAGTGCAGAGCTCACTAAGGAGGAAAAGCTGAAGGAGTCTGTTGAGCAACTTTCAAGTCGTAAGGAGAATGAACTTATTCTCAGCTGCCCCATACACCATGAGCATCATGCCACTAGTAACGGTGAAAGCATTGACGATGATGTCGTCCTGGTAAACGAGTGTCATATTATCTAATCACCAATAACAACTGAAGAAGTGTAGGACATTATATAAGGGGATTCTTAGAGAAGCAGTTAAATACTTTGGCTTGTAGAAAAATGATAGCAAAATTGTAGATAGGTATTCATATTTCTTTATTCACTGTTGCTCAACAATATGTATGTTTGTTTTTGGGTTTCAAGTTCAACACCGACCGTTAATCAAAAAAAGTGGTTTTAGCGGTGTAAGGAACTAAAATATATTTTAAAAAAAAAGTTAAAATTATTTGCTGCTTTTCATTCAAGGCTATAAGAAATTTCCAATTTCGAAAATGATCGAATATTTATTTTGGAAAGCTTAAGAATTTAATTTAATAAAAGTACAGCGGGAACGTTATGCATGACGTTCTCATGGAGTTCGTTGCATTTTAGTTTCGCTTTGGCGCGTCAAAATTCAATAAACTTGCAATTTAAATGTTCCGTTGAAGCATAAACTCGTAAATTATTTATTAACATTGTAAACTTATACTTAACATTCATGGCTAGCGATTGAGTTAGTATTGATTATAAATTTATCCAAAGTGCAGTAGTAATTCAGAGGACCGAAGTCAAAGTTACCTCCAGAATTCCTAATACAAATCGATTGACGAAAATTGATATGCTGCGTGTAGCAAATACTAGTCAATACACACACATTCACGCACACGCTTACACACACACACACACCCCCACACCAACATTCACATTCGCATTCTGGGTATGTGCGCCTAAGGCAAAAGTTTTGCCTGCGGTTTGCTGCTAAATGCTAAGAGTTGCTAATTTCTTATACAATAAAACTAATATGTGCGAGTGTGTAATTGTGTGGATATGTGTGTGTATATGTGTATGCAATACATGGACATTAAATGGAGCACATAATATACTGAAAGTCAGAAAAGCATTGAAAGACAAAACCCAACCCAAGGAAAATGCCATGCGAATGTCAAGGGTTCTTTAGCTACATCATAAATACAAAATTGTTTTGCAAATACATTTTGTCAGCATGTGTGTGCGTGTTTGGGTGTGTATTTGTGTGTGTGTGTGTGTGTGTGTTTGAGATGTGTGGATGTTGCCTCAAGTGTAAATTCAATGTACATAGGTGCATACAAATACGCTGGGGTAAACCATAATACATAACAGCTTATATAAGAGGCAAACATGCGTGTCTGTATTAGTGTGTGTTAGTTTGTGTGTTTGCCACAATGCATAAAAGTGCAACGCAGCATTCGTAAATTGCGCAGCTGCTCCACTACTGTCCCTGGTGTGTTAGCTGGAGTGTAAATGTGAGTGCATGAATGGCTATATGTGTATGTGTTCGAGGCAGTCCATTTCAATCCACAACGCCCCTCTCAGACACCCGCTGCTCCTTAAACTAATCTAACTGTTGACCATATTCGCGACTTCGCTACTCCACATGTATATATATGTTTATATAAGTGTATATATTACATATGTTTATATATTTAGCAATACACTTATGATCAGAACACTAGGTACAACTCCATAATTTGGTTTTGACTCTTGTCTATCATGGAGACCTTCCTTAGCTTCATATTCAAAATCAAACTCATAAAAAAGTTTGTTATATTCCTATTATAATTCTAAAGAAGATCACATCTCAGAGTCTCCACAAATCAACTCAAGGCAGATAAGTAAGGTTTAAAATCATGTGTAGTAAATAAGTAAATTAAAGCCTCAAGATCGCAAATGACAAAAAATGTCAAAAACAATAAAAACATATTAATTTGACCTTTGGTGTAAAAGCATATTCCAATCTTTACTTCCAATTGTAAATAATAAATGCAGTTGGAAAGCAACGTGCCACATTGGCTTTAGCACTGAAACGGGAACCAACACGTTTCCACCCGGAATGTGAGTGAACTTTCAATGCTGCTTAAAGAGTGTGCAACGCTTGTTTTTATAGGGGGTGTTACTGAATGTGAATAGTGCATTAGCTTGTGAACATTGTGGGGTTATGATCTCAATGACATTCGCAACCATTAGCTGATAATGCAAAGGGAACCATTCAATGAGCCATGCACCAAGTGCAAATGGCATGCTTTTAAATTCAGGAATATCCTTGAAAATAATTTGGCTAAATTCGCTTCTGAGTGGATGACAACAAGCATATTTTGTGCTCACTTTGAACATAAACAAAATATAAGTCAGACAAACGAATCGACGGCTTTTGTTAATCTTTTTTGTTGGATGCTTTCAAATTTATAGCTTCATTATGGGAGCACAGCGGAATGGGAACCAGAACACTATAATGGCTAGGGGAGAGGCGACAAGTGGGGGTGGCTGGTGAGCAGGCCATCAGACAAAGCGTTGCTATGGCTTCTATTGCCATTCGCTTAAGTTGTTGCTGTTGTTATGCTAGCTACTACTGTTGCCGATGCTGATGCTGCTCTAACTGTTATGGCTGTCATTTGGCAGCTTGTAATTATGTTTGCCACAAGTTGTTGCCAGAAAGTTGTTATCTAGATTTCATAGTCAAAAGCCATGACGGCGGGCAGCATCAAATTCAATTGAACTGTTGAGTCAGCAGCTCAGCTTAACTCATCTATAGAAAACATTTGAGAACTCATCGCCCATCACCACGTTTTCGTATAGTCTGTTAAAGCTAATTTGCAAACGCATGAAAAGTTTTTGAATTGAACTGCAAAGCAGATAAGAATCTTTTAATAAACTGAAAGTTATGGCCATTCAAAAATGTTGACTTAGAGACCTTTGATTGTTAATTTAAAAGCTGAAACATGATTTAAAAGGATACAAGTTGAGGCTGAAGAGTTGTTCGAGCCCCGTTGAATACCTATAGATAAAATCAATTGATAAGAGTGATTCGTGAGATGTTCTTGTTCTATTTCTTGAACGCACTTATTTTGCACTACAGTTCGTGCTGAAATAGTCAGTACGAGTATATTCAAAGACTTTTTGTATTCATTGTATTCAGATTGGCCCCTTGGTAAAATACCATGCAAAAAGTCTTGTTCTGACAGTTAGCTGTGAATATTGATTGATATTAATAGGCTGTTGATCAAATTTAAAAAAGCAAAACAAATTTGTAAATATTACTTTTGTAGCAAGCTTCACTAACAAAACATCTGTAACAAAACATCTGAAATATAGCTTGCAACCAGGAAGAAATCAATCGTTTTCAATACAGTAAAATGAGCAGACAGGCTTGAGAAATATATAATTTAGTTTCGACTGCTTCACTTTAAAGGGAGAACTAGATCATTTCTAAAAGAGAACGAACTAGAATTATGTTTTCTGCGCTAGCTAAGAAGCTGAATATGAAACTCTAAAATTACTTGTGTTCGTTATTATCATTACTAAATAAGAAAAATAAACTAAATATGCCTTGAAATGCTAAAAAGTATCGTTACTATATAAGAAATATTAATATAAGTATATTAATAAAATTGTAAGGCCTTGGCTGTATAGTCTATAACTCCGTCTGTTAATAAAAAATATATATAGACGTTTATTGACTCAATTGCTTTAAAAATTAACCCAACTAGTCCGTCCTCATGCGGCCCATTTAACTGTTTGGTGACACTATTTTAATGGCTGTCAGGCACCTGACGCATTCGCTATCTGACAGCAGAATGATGCAAATTTGTTTGGGGTATCTACAATTGTAGAGGCACACACAGGCAAACAGAGGCGGCAAATGACAGATAAAAATAATCAAGACACAAATGTGAGCATTTGTAATTTAATTTGGCAGCTTCGCAGCAAAAAATTTAAGTGCATTGCAAATGTAACCCTCTGAACTCAATATGAAAACAACAACAGCGATCTGTAATAACAAACACAAGAGTAGCAAGAGCAGCAGATCAAAGGGACTTAAAGGCGACAGAACTTTTATTTATTTAAAATTGTCAACAGCAGAGGCGTTGTTGCATGCAACAAATTTATTGTGCATGCCACGCCTCGTTGGATTGTTGTGGCTTTTAATTGAGTCATGCAACTGGCTCAGATGATGCTTATTGTTGTTGTGGCTGTTGCTCGTTGCCCAAGTTAAATTTATTTGCAACGCATTGCAACTAAGCCTACAAGCGACTGAGGAATGATATAGAATAGGACTGCGTAAGACGTAGAAGACAGAGAGAGAGAGATAGAGAGAGAGAGAGAGAGAGAGAGAGCGAGGGGGGAGTTGCAAGTCAACTAGTGGAATGCTTCGTATTGCGTGCAACTTTTACAAGGGAAAACTCTCCTGTTTGGGATACTTTATGTGCAAATTTTTGGTTGGGCAAGATACACAATGCAACTACAATGGCAACAAAAATGCAAGCACACCCACACGCACACACATAAAAATATACTTGGTTGGCAATTTGCTGGCACTGTGGCTGTCAGCTGCCAAGTCATTTGCATGCACATACAGCACAAGCACAAATACCAGCGGGGCATGAATGACAAACAAAAACAATAAACGAGAGTGGTTCATGCGAGGGGGTACGACTATGAGATAGTCTGTTCTCAGCTATTAAAAGCACATACACAATCACACAATAAAAAATATATTCATAATAAGAAAATTTGATGCTTAAATGTCTAGGACTTCAAGTATCTACATATACTTTTTAAAATCAAGACTATACATACAGAATATTTTGAACATTTATGTGAAAGACTTAAACTTACGTAAGAAATACGGCAAATCATCGTTAATTATCAAAAATCGCCTTTCTAGTCAGCCGTCCAGCTTGTCGATTTGCACAGATGATTCCTGATTACCTTCTTATTAAATTTTAATTGAAACAGGGTATAACTACGATATGGCAGAGAAATAGTGAACAACAAAAATGCCTTCGCTTGCAACTTCCAAGTTGAAACCACTGAAACAAAAACAAATTGACCGCCTGTTAGCATATAAATCACATGGTAAAAGATAAATTGAAAGCTGTTGTGGCTGCCTGTTCCATATCCACGATGCGGGTGCCAGACCTACCATGCCCTCCTTTTCTTACATGGTGCAAGCTAATGCAATTAACAGCAGCTGGGGTAATGCAAATGGCAAATGCGAGTGCCCAAAAGCTGCATTGACAAATTTCAGTGCACATTTCTTAGCCTGTCCCCTGAACTCCACACACAAGTAAGTATTGAAACAAGTTCGAGTAGCTAACTTAGGTACGCCGAATATTATATACCCTTGCAGCTTAAAACTGTATAAAATAGGCTTGCGCAACGGTTAGCAAACGACTCCTCCCTTTTCCTTCCTTCAGGACTAAATACTCT